TAGATGTCAAGAGAGGTGGTGAAGTGATAATTATTTATTGAGCAGTATACTCTTTCACATTGAATCATAACAAGTCATACTGAATGTAAATACAACGGACTCTAAAGTAAGTCCCAGTCTGTGACATTGGACATTTTGAAGACTCAAAGTCCCAAGCAGTAGGTAGAATATTAGCTAGTCTATGTAATGTGCACAAAAAATAAATAGTTAACTGAATACTGGGATGGAAATAGCCTATAAGCACTCAGTAAAACATAAACACACACAAAAAGCTTCTGAATGATAAGAAGTATAATTAAAACATAATGCACATTACCATTTTGAGAGAGAGTACCTAAGTTAAAGAACTCAGAAAATAATCTCTTATCGAACTGAGGCTCCAGTAAAACACACTGACTGCGTCTCTACATGGACATCAGTAAGCCGTTTATGAGTATTATCCCGGTTATGATCATATTGGGGATATGGTGTTTACATGAGCACAGAGAGATCGGGTTATTCATGTTCCCTGTTTACATGATAAATACTAGTAACCTGGCATTTCGATGCCTTTTCTCATCTAAACTATTCAGTATTTGTATCTCTCTATCATGACATAAAGACGAAACTCCTCTCCAGAAGTGAGATGCCGCCATCACTGTTAACTGATTAACTGCTACCAGCTGATGACTTACTTTCCTCTTCTTTGAAAAAAATGTTCTTATGTCCATGTTGTCTGGGGGAGAAAACATATCAAACCAAGAGATCGTCAGCTTTGATTTTCGCTGTATTAACCATTTCCTGAACATTTGGTGTGTGTGCCTTACCTCCGCTACCGGCATCGCTTCATACAACAGATCTGAGCTGTCCAACTATGACAACACTCCTTGAACATGCGCGCGCTATGTGAGAATCTGCCTTGGTACAAAGTAGCAGTGAAAACATGGTACGGAGTTTCATTGATTTGGGCATTCTCTCAATAAGCAAGTGGAATGGATTTCATTTGATAGTGAAGCACTGACACAGCGCTCTACAAAGTGCGGCGAGTGGATAGACCGATTCACGGATTTTCCGCATAGTAAAAGTGGGGGGGGTCTAACTCAGGGATGCAAACTCATCAGGTATGAAAAAGGTGACAAGGATCCGACCCCCCCGACCCCACGGAATATCGGCTTTAAAATTAGGAATAACAGAGGATTTTAGCAGTCAGAACAACTAAAGCAGTTAATAATAACAGAAATGCCAAAGAGTCACATCTACTGTAATAGAAATGTATAAAAGCATTTATTTGAATTGTGTAGCAGTCAGTTTATAATTTTGGCAGCACTGTTGAGCATTTTGAAAATGTATTTTCATGCCTCTGTGCAAGGCTTAGTCTTTCTATCTGTATAGCCAGTGGTGTAAAGTAACTAAGTTCATAAACTCAAGTACTATACTTGGGTACAATTTTGAGATACTTGTACTTTATTTAAGTATTTCAATGTGTTGCTACTTTGTTCTTCTACCCCACTACAGTTCAGAGGTAAATGGTGTACTTTTACTCCACTACATGTATTTAATAGCTTTAGTTACTTTACAGATGTGGATGAATGATGTGAAATATAATCAAGTGTTAAATCAGACTTTAGTTCCACCTGGAGTAAATTCACAAGCTACCCTGCAGTATACAAAGTCATTCAAACTAGGTGCACCTTTACCAGCTTTGAGAACACTTTCATGATCAATCATTATAAAACATATCATATATATTATTCTGAAATGGACCAATCTGCACAACGACTACTTTTACTGTCGCTACTTTAACTATATTTTGATGAGAATACTTTTCTACTTTTACTTGAGGAACATTTTGAATGCAGGACTTCTACTTCTACTTTTACTCAAGTACAAGACCTGAGTACTTCTACTTTTACTCAAGTACAAGACCTGAGTACTTCTACTTTTACTCAAGTACAAGATCTGAGTACTTCTACTTTTACGAACAAGACCTGAGTACTTCTACTTTTACTCTAGTACAAGATCTGAGTACTTCTACTTTTACTCTAGTACAAGATCTGAGTGCTTCTACTTTTACTCAAGTACAAGATATATACTTATACCACCTCCGTTTATAGCCTATGAAAAAAACTATTTGAAAACGAAGGCTAAAGCTAACGTAGTGACAATGTATGCTAGTTAGCTAGCTCAACGATAATATTGCGACAGGAACACTTTTCAGTGCACATCACGCTCTGCCGCTCCAACAGGGAGCTCTGCTCTGAACACCTGAACGGCCCGTTCTAACAGCTGTTCACCAGCGGTCCAGTCTGTGCCACAGTGACTCCGGACCGCACAGTTAATATTAACGAACGCACCCGTAGGTAATGTAGCTGCTGAAGCTAGACCCTCATCCCGGAGCAGCAGAGCCTTATTATACATCCATGAGCAGAGCCGACAGGCAGGAAGACTCGAGCACACAGCTAGCGCTTCATTATAATATATAAAAAAAGAACACCATGCGTGTCATGATGGCACATAACAGCTCGCGGCCGCAGATTACTCCGGGTCCCAGACCCCCCCCATACCCCAAAAATATTTTTATTGCAGATCTACATGAATCACACAAACTACCTATTTTGGATTCAAAACGGCGAATTTCGCCGAAAGGTGACAAGTTTGCATCCCTGCTAACTAATCATTTGAAAAAGTGGGGGGGACTTGTCCCACCCTCATATAATGGCTGCGACGCCCATGAGTACAGAGTTCATCTTTCACAGAAGTCATACTTGCGACAGTTGGTGTTTAAACTGATGCGTAAAAAGCAAAGATAGCGGAAATGCAGACAGACTCAGGACTGAAGAGGAAGAGATGAGCAGTGTTTCTGTGAGTAGACCTGAAGAGCGTCTGTGAGTGGACCTGAAGAGAGTCTGTGAGTGGACCTGAAGAGAGTCTGTAAGTCTTTATGTCTTTATTAGGATCCCCATTAGCTATTAGTTAGGTGCTTCAGGAGATTGGCATTGCTGTTATTCGACGTGGACAATGCTTTCTGTCCTGCACACAGTTTACATTTGACCGTAATATTTTTTGCGTCCTTTATCCCCACAAATTGAAAATAGTAGTTATATATCCAAGTTGTAAATGCGCTGCTGCTCTCGCTGATACTTGCATCTGCCATTGTGTGTGTGTGTGTGTGCTGGTGGTGGGCGTTGCCGTGTATGTGTGTGTGTTAGCAAGTGTTTGTGTGTCTGTGTATTTTCCCCATAAGGCAAGACCCGCCCAACTCTGTCTCTGATTGGCTTACCCTGAAATGTTACCCCGCGTTAACCAATCATCACTCCTCTCTGGTCACTTTCACTTTTCCATGGTACTGTGAGAGGACATCACTGTATTCACCTGTAAGTTACATCCGCAGGGAGATTCGGTTCAGTTGGATCACATAATGTAACGCAGTAACGCACCCATTTAAATCACAGTAACTATAACGGCGTTACTGAATGGGAATAGGTAACTAGTAACGTTATTAGTTACCGCAAAAGGTAGTTGCGTTACAGTAACGCGTTAGTTTGTAACGCGTTAGTCCCAACACACACAAAACATACATAAACATACATACAACAAAATTAAAACAAAACAAAACAGCTCATAATTTCATGCAATTTACAGTGCTGTATGAAGTGAAAACTAAAATGGTCATCCAATTATCGCCATCCTAAGGCCAAACAAAAGTAAATACAAATAAGTTTACATAATAATATATGCATACATAGCCACAGACACAGTTCAAATTTACTTTACAATACTTAAATAATTTTTTAGCAACCTTTTGAAATGTACTTGAGAATTTCCTGAATGATGTGGACCGGTAAAGAGTTCCAGCTGACCATGGCTCTGTACATGACTGTTTTCTGTCCCATATTTGATTTAGATTTGGGTAATACTTCTTCCTTCTATTGTATGTCGTGTTTGATAGTTATGTTGTGCATATTGCGCTATAAACCTTTGTGATAATATATCTGGTGAGTGAGTCACTGTAATATTTCTGACAAAATTTAACAAAATATAAGTTGACCTCTGTCTGACAGTTAACCATTTCAGTGTCTCCAGCATTTCAGTGACTCTGGTTCTATAGGAGCACTGCAGTGCACATCGTGCTGCCTTATTTTGTGCTACTTGTAGTTTGTTTAAATCTTTTTCAGCAGCACTAGACCATATAACCAAACAATAATCAAGCTGTGACAGAACCAAAGCATCCAAAACTTGTCTACTGACATCCATTGGCAAATATTTTACAATTCTTTTTACAAGTGACACACCCCTTCCCATTTTACATACAACATTATCAATTTGTTTAGACCAAGGTAATTTATGATCCAGGGTTATACCTAGCAATTTTGTCTCCTTGACCTGTTCAATTTCAATATGGTTTAAATGTAGTTGCAATTTTGGTTCACCTTTTAACTGATGATTTGATCCAATTAATAACGATTTTGTTTTTCCCGCATTAAGTACCAACTTATTATTTATGACCCACTCTGATATCAGTAGTAGATCTTTATTCATAACATTTGTCAACTCTCTTGTAGTTGATGCTGCATAATATATTGTTGAGTCATCTGCATACATTACAATTTTAGCTTTTTCTAACACTAATGGTAGGTCATTTGTAAAAATGGAAAATAAAAGTGGTCCCAAACAACTACCCTGAGGTAGTGACTGTTTTCATCTTTGAGAGACTTCCATTAAAAAAAACAGTTTGACTTTGATTTGTCAGGTAACTTTCTAACCACCTCAAAGCATTTCAAAATTAAAACCATATTGTTCCAGCTTGTGTAACAACAAAGAATGGTCAATGACATCAAAAGCAGAACTAAAATCAAGTAGTACTGCACCCACTAACTTCCTATTATCTAGTTCGCCCTTCCAGTCATCTGTCATGATGTTCTTTGGATCCCGAAGGCCTGTTATGGTTTTCAAAAGTACAAAATAAGAACATATAGTTCTGTAAGATAAATATTTTCTTTCTTGGTATCTTTGCTCTGCAGGTAGAAAATATGGAGACACCTAAATTCCTATTAAAAACTTTAAAAGCTTTGAAGGAAGAGGAATTTAAAGAATTCAAGTGGCACCTGCAGGAGGAGGTCCTAGAACTCCCAGGAATCCCAAAGAGTGAACTAGAGAAAGCAGACCGGATGGAAACAGTGGATCTGATGCGTACGCACTACGGCAGACACGACATTAAAGTGACCAGAGAAGTTTTGAAGGAGATCCCGAGGAATGATCTATTAGAGGCATTATCAGAATCCTCATCAGAATCCTCATCAGACCGTAAAGGTAGGTCTTTAAAAAAGAGTGTACCAAAATATAGCTATATATGTAAATATAATTTCTTTTATTTTTCACAGCCATGCATCATGTTTTTAGACTCCTGATATACCCCTCAGAGAACCATCACCTCCACATGGTGTTGGGGCTGAGGTACCCCTGAAAGCAGAGAGGTCAGGGTCACTAGTTTCTGGCAAGGTCACCCTGTTGGTTCCAGGTGAGGGGTAGTAGAACCTTTATAGATCAGCATTTTAGGAATCCAATTACCTTCCAAAATATATCGCCTTTCGTCTCTTCCTAACCACAATTCCTTAACCTTTGTGAAACATCTTGGGGTTAATGATAGGACTTAGGGAAAGAGACTGCTGTGCTTTGAGAACCCGACCGCACTGACACTATCCCACGTCATTATGATGCGCCAGCCGATCTTATTAAGAAGGAGAATTCTACCACTGAACCACCAATGCTATATCAACGAGTGTCTCCTGGTGGGACATTGGAGATATGTAATACAAGTGGGTGATGCTAAAAGCCAGTGTTGGGGAGGGGATGGATCAGAGGAATGACCAGAAAGTCATCAGTGGGCTCTGAAATGGCAGTGAGTCCTTGAGTGCTATGTTTTCCCAGGAAACGGCCAATTCTGTTTGGAATGAGGTTTGTCCTGCCGAACTGTCAGATATCTCAGGAGGGGGAGTCATGGATGAACCCCGGCTGTTTTCCACAGTGTAGGTTAGCTGCTGACTCAGTCTCAGGATGTTGAATGGGACTGATGCACACTGAGTTCAGGAGGCAGAGCTGAGGGCTTGGAGAACAGCTGTTGTTGCTCAGGTGGTCAGAAGGGGCCACAGGGACACACTGTGGAGGTCTGTCCTGACATAGGATTGGACAGTTGTGATTTAAATTCCTGTTCAATGTTGCATGGAAGCAGACAGTGTCATTGTCCATGCTTTAAAGGGGACTGTAGGGTAAGCTCTAAACATCAGAGGAGCACATTGCTCAGCCTCACTGGGATTGCTCACTGCAGATTCTGTCCTAGTCATTACTAACGGCCCAGCCCCCTACAGGTGGAAGGAGGTATCATTTGCCGTCCAACATGACTTGGGGAGGAAGGGACGGGTTATTACTGTGACCCCCCAGGGTGTCTTGTAGATGGTAGGCTACTGCAGGAGTATACTGCGACACAGTAAGAGCCATCCACTTCCTGTATAACTGGAGAGAGAGCTGTGTCCACACCCTCAGTGGGTGTTGGGATCTGCTGGTATCATGCCTCATCTCCCAGCAGCAGGAATAAGAGTCAGTCAGGTTTAGGGCTATGGTTCTCTGTGGGAAAACTGATGGTTCTCTGTGGGGTGGAACTTATACTGGACAATGTACAAATAATTCTGCAACAAGATCCAGTGACTTGATATAAGGAAAATAACCTGCTATTTTGTCAGAGGAAGGCTGTGTTTCTCTGGCTTCAGCTCTGAGCTCCAACCCCTCCCATCTGAGAGAGCTGGACCTGAGCTGCAATCAGCTACAATCATCCAGGAGACTCATAGGCCACATTGGATTTCTCAATTGTGAGGCATTTTGGGACATTGTTGAGCTTCATATACAGCAGAGTTGGATTCAGCACCCCTTAATACCCCTAGAAATGTTGTATAGCATGAATAAACACAAAATGCCTTTGGGATTCTGATTTTGTGAAAATTGACCCCGTCTATCAGGAGAGAAGCTGCTTTCTGCTGGACGGGAGGATCCACTCTGCAGTCTGGACACTCTCAGGTATGGACAGACTGACTTCCTCATATTTTTCTAATTTCATCTCCTTCATCTCTGGTCTTCCATCATGAAGGACGTCTCATTTCCCTTGATTATGTTCACAGCAGTGAGTTAACCTTTAAGTCTTATTACATGGAAACAGCCATTCAGTCCAAACATCAGAACCACTTTTTTCATGTCTTTAATATGCGTTAATTTGAAGTAGGTTATTTTTTGGGTTATAAATTGTTTCACTTAGTAAGGTGGTGGAGAGCATAACAACAGCTGTTGACGATTTGTTTGAATGTGTTACAGTAGACATGTGTATGGAAAGGTCTAAACATGTTATTGTGAGCTGTATATACAGAGCTCCTGGAACCTGTATTGACACATTTACAGATAGGATAGAAGCATGTTTACTAAATCATTACAAAACATGATGTTTATCTGTGGGGATTACAATATTGACCTGTTGAATCCAAAAAAGCATCAAATGACAGAAGACTTCATCAATGCATTGTACAGTATGGGTTTGTATCCTAAAATCACCAGACCTAGTACAATCACTTCTCTGCTACATAAATAGACAACATATTCACAAACATTATGGAGAACAATACAGTAGGGACTACTATATAGTGACATCAGTGATCATTTACTTGTTCTTATTGTCTATCACTGCAGTTCTAAGAAACCTAAAGTATCCAGCCATTTCAAATACAAAAGATTGAGAACTGAAGAAAACATAAATGCATTAAAGAATACTTTAATCACAATTGGAGGGTAGTATATGAGAGAGACAATATGGACAAGGCATATGATGAATTTCTAAACATTTTGAAATCACTTTGTGACAAAAAGTGTCCTGTGAAACAATGCAGAGAGAGACACAAACAAAGTCATGGATCACTGATGGCCTAAACAATGCAGAGAGACACAAACAAAGTCACAGTGCATGGATCACTGATGGCCTAAACAATGCAGAGAGACACAAACAAAGTCACAGTGCATGGATCACTGATGGCCTAAACAATGCCTGCAAAAAGAAAAATACACTTTATAGACAATTCATAGAATATAGAAGTTCAGAAGCAGAAAATAAATATAAAAGATATAAGAATAAATGAACCAATATTATGAGAATATGTAAGAAAGAATACTATAATAAAATACTAAGAATACTCCTCCTCCTCCTCCTCCTCCTCTGGTAGAGTAGCAGTGTATCTGGATCATCCTGCTGGCTCTCTCTCCTTCTACAGAGTCTCCTCTGACACACTGATCCACCTCCACACCTTCAGAGCCACATTCACTAAACCTCTCTATGCTGGGTTTGCATTAGGGTCAGTGTCCTCAGTGTCTCTGTGTCCTCTGTAGGAGGTGTTGAGATCTCCATAGTATGTTGAATACTTAAAACGAAAGTTAGTTATAATAAAATATAATCAATTATATTCTTGTATAACCCACAATGAAAATGTTTCATATGTTATGATTTTCTATATTTCTATATTTACAGTATAAACAAAGAGCCACATTCACTAAACCTCTCTATGCTGGGTTTGCGTTAGGGTCAGTGTCCTCAGTGTCTCTGTGTCCTCTGTAGGAGGTGTTGAGATCTCCATAGTATGTTGAATACTTAAAACGATCGCATGATTGTCCATAGTTAATCGCGATTAATCGCAAATTAATCGCACATTTTTGTATCTGTTCTAAATGTACCTTAGAGGGATATTATTCAAGTTTTTAATACTCTTATCAACATATGAGTGGACAAATATGCTTTATATGTTTGTTTATTATCATTTGAACAATGACAAAATTTCTCATGAATATTAAACACAACAACCTCTGAACATTACAAATATTCGCCTCAATTCAACCTGGAACCTCTCTCATACAATACAATAATACAATACAAAGTGTGTGTGTGTGTGCGTGTGCGTGTGTGTGTGTGTGCATCAGGGTTTCCGTTAGCCGGTAATTACCGGTCTTTAGCTGGTAAAATGTATTCAAAACCGGTTAATTCAAAACCTGCCGGTCAAAATGTCCGGTAATAATTAGGGATGCTTATCGGCCGATATTCACTCTTAATAGTTTGATCGGTGCTCTCTATAAAGGCCGATCAGGAGAGCTGGATCTGATCGATATGGACATAAACGTGAGTGAAGTATAACCGGACGAGAGAGAGAGATCAGATCAGCTGCTGAGTCTGACGGAGACACGCAGCTCTGCATGATCACCTGAAGCCCCGCCCACTGTTTAGCGAGCGAGAAACTGACGGGCTGTCAGGAGAGAGAGGGAGGGAGAGAGGAAAAGAGAGGATCCGTTTCTCCCGTGTTATTATTCAAAGTTAATGTAAACGTTTGAATAATGTACTTCATCTACTATAAGTAGTTTGTTTGAATGTAATAATTATGTTGTTTGTGGAAGCGCATCATTTATTGAAAAATCAATCTGAACTTTTCGATCTGTTATGATTATAAACTGAAGCAATATAAAAATGAGCCCCATTAACTGAGTTTTAAACATCAGCATATCCGGTCATAGTCCGGTAATTACTCTGCTACACAATTCTTATTATTATTCTTATTGAAACATGACCGGTAAGTTTCAAATTTGTCCGGTAAAATTAATTATTTCCGGACATTTGACCGGCAAGAAAATATCCTAGCGGAAACCCTGGTGTGCATGTGGAGAGACACTGTGATGGATCATTGGAGCTATGTGCAACTCAAGGCATATGCTCGAACGGGAGTTGCCTGGATGCTGCAATCATGTTGCGCACACTATCCGTGCTGAGTGTGCTGACTTTTCGTACAATGTCCCACTGTCTGGCTACCTGCATAAAGTCAAGTGCTCGGTGCAGTTGTCGGCGAAATGTCGCTCCTCTGTTTTCATTGAAACAGCTCCTTATATCCGTTAGCGCAGCTAGCTAGCACCAGATGCTAACAACAACAATACACGTAAGGTGTGCGCATTCTCTCTCTCTCGCTCGCGCCACACATACACACACCCTCCCGGTCCTCCCGATGGCCAGTCCGGGCCTGCCGGTGAGCGTGGAAGTGTGGTCTGCCGCTAGCGGACGGCAGGAGCGGGGCTGTCAGCATCAGCTTGTAGATGGTATTTTAAACTCGATGCGCTCTGAAACTACGGGGCGGCCGAGGACAAAAAATAAACATGCGTTAATCGCGTTAAAATAATTAGTGGTGTTAATTAATTTTTTTGTTATTAACCTCTTAAGGACGACGGTCCCCCCAGTGGACCCCTCCCCACCGTTTTTTTTCGAGACTGTGTCTCAGAGCTTCTTAACATTTATGAAACTATTAATGTGTAGCACCAGATTAACGGGAAGAATCTCAGCTAACTGAAGATATGAACCATTTTTATCAAAACAAAACACAAGGGTAATACCAAGCCTCTGAATTAGCACTAAGCGAAAAAATGCTGACGCACTTTAGCACACAACTCAAGATAAAGAAACACTTATTACTTATCGTAGCTGCACATACAATATATCCGATTAAAGCTGAGACTCCACAGATTATATAGTTATAGTATCATCACTGAGCGATCCGAACTTGCGACAGGGGAAGCAAACACAGACATCACAACACGTACCTTTACGGAGCTTTTACGGGAGATCGTCTCACCGTAGCTGTCAATCTGATCAAAAGACGTGTTCAATGGCATTAAAACGAAGAAAAAAAAATGCTACAACTGTTGATCCATAGGTTAATAATGTATCTGTGCCTTTGAAAAAATTATTTATAATCCATAATTCCATTTTTATGTAAAAATCGGAGAGAAAAAGTTAGCTGCTAATGGTAGCCACCAGAGTGTATGCAGCTTCCGGTTTTGGTCACACGTCACTCTCACTCCTTATTTGTTAACGTGTTGGTGTGTATAGAACTTTCCCTCGATTCCATTGGCTCTAGCGGTTATAAAGAGATTTCATTCATCAAAATCGACCAAGGGGGGCCAGAGATAAGTCAAATCCACCCAGATGAGATCTGCCTCACCTCAGAATACGTCACCCCACATAAACTGTCTGGAAAGCGGGCCCTAAGCGCATGCCTGTTACCATCTCACTGTAGGTCACCAATGTAATGTTTGTAGATCCCTTTATTACATTTATCCTCGCCATCCAAAGTCTCTAAATAACTTATATCACGTATATATGATATTTAGGCTCGCTGGTCTCATCGTACAACGGCAATGAAAAAAGCACCAGGAGAGGCAGCCATAACCTCTGCCGCACTGAAGGGGCCACGTCACTGCTGTGTACCAACCTCTGGTCTTTTTTTTATTTTTTATTTAACCTTTATTTAACCAGATAAAAACATTGAGATAAAATCTCATTTTCAATGCTGACCTGGCCAAGAAGGCAGCAACGTTACACATAACACATAACACAAACATATAAAATACAGAGCACATAACAAAGAAAACAAAAGACGAAAAAGCAGTCACTACATTGTGCACATTAGGACAATAAAAAAGTACACTACTTGTTACTGCAAGAGCAGCTGGTGGTGAGGACTTCAGACAACTTCAATTTAAAACATGATATAGAGACAAGTGCCCTCAGTTTAAGGCGTGATTGAAGGTCATTCCAAGACCAAGGACCATAATAAGAAAGACTCCTTTTTCCAGCCTCAGTCCGTACAGTAGGTACCTGGAACCGTATCCAGGCACTGGATCTGAGGTTGTAAGAGTCACAAACTGGGGCAAATCTGACACATATGTAGAGTGGAAGCTTACCTAAAATGGCTTTATACATTAATAAAAACCAGTGCTGCATCCTACGCATAGTAAGTGAGGACCATCCAGTTAGGCTATACAGTGTGCAATGATGAGTCCTATAGGGTGCATTTAATATATAACGCAGTGCAGCATGGTAAAGTGGGTCAAGTTTGGCCAAAACAGTGGGACAGGCAAATCTATAAATGGTATCACCGTAGTCCAGCTGGGACAGGAATAAGCCAGAGACCAACCTTTTACGGGATGAAATTGAAAAACAACATTTA